GTGATTGTGACCAATTATTGGGTAATTGTAACCAATAAAATGAATAAATTGTTATCAATAAATAATACATGACCTAAAAATGTGTACTTTTTTTACTAAATTTGTAATTGTGACTTACAATTTAAATATTCATGATCAATAATTATGAATAATTAATTTGATAATTTGTAATCGAAAAATAATTTTTGATTAAATAATTTGATAATTTGTGATCGATAAATAAGTTGTGACCTATAAAACATTATCCATATAAAAGCATTTTAAGACTTTTTTATGTGTAGATTGATGAACAAATAATCCTTTTGGAAAATGTTCAATCTGCAATTCGAGACAGAATTTGGTTTTTCTCAAATCTTTAATCTCAAATTTATTTTTCAAATAATATGCAGTCTTGTTAATCTCTTCAGAAGTTCCAATTAAGCTTATGTTTGAGCCACATTAAAAATTTTATTCTCATTCTTTTACTCATTTTCAACCACATATTTTTCAATAAAATAATATTTTCCATCACATCAATAACTTTTCATTCTTTTTCAACTCATTCTCCATCAATCTACTATTCTAAAATACATTCTTCCAAAATAATGTGACTCAAACACACTAAATTTAAGTCATCAACATAAATTGTCAAATTGTAAATCCAATAATTATTTTTTTTTATGAAAACACATGGGCAGACATCATCATTTTTATAACATTCCTTCAACAAATATGCGTTAAGAGGATTATACTACATGTGTCCAGATTATTTCAATTCATATGATGATCTTTGCAATTTAACTGAGAACATGGTTCTCGGACATGTATCATTTGTTTCTCGCACTTTAAATCTTTCAGGGACTTTCATATATATATATATATGTCATTATCAAGTGAACCATACAAATAGGCAATCACTACATCCATAAGGCGCGTCGAGCCTTTGTGATACGGTCAAACTAATTAAGAATCTAAAAGTGATAGTGTCCATTACGGGAGAATATATTTCTTCATAATCAATTCTTGATCTTTGTAAAAAACCTTGAACTGCATGTCAGGTTTTGTATCTTGTAATTTCATTATTTTCATTTCTCATTCATACAAAAACCCATTTTGTATCCAACAAGGATTACATTTTCAGGTGTTCGAACTACGGGTCTAAACACTTTTCGTTTATCTAAGGAATTCAACTCCGCCAATATGACTTCTTTCTATTTTGGCCAAACATTTCTATTTTGACAATCTATAATAGACTATGGTTCATGATCCTCATTTTCCATAATATCAAGAGTCACGTTCAAGGCAAAAATATTGTTTATGACAACATTATTTTTTTCCCATAATTTATGAGATAACATATAATTTATTGAAATCTCATTATTTTCGGACACTTATGAT